TTATAGTGTGCTTTCTATTTCTTCTTTTCCTTATTATTTCTTGTCTGCTTTTGGGTTAAATGTGTTTTATTGATGTTTTATTTTCCTTTTTCTTATTCCATTTTTTTCCCTTCTGCTAGTTTGGGTGTTGTACTGGCTAGGTCTATTGTTCTAATGGATACCATATCTATTTTAATCAGCATTCTTAAAAGGAATAAATGTATCATTTTTGTTACTCTCCTCACAACCAATACAAAGACTTTAGAATAGTTTGGTTTCAATTGTTCATCCATCAAATTGCATTCTATCAATTCCAGTAATTTCAGTTGTCCACTATTATTTATTTAAAGTCCACAAATTATAATTTCTTTTTCCATATTTAATGTTTGTTTAAATTTATCCACATATTTAGTTATATCTTTACTCATTACATCTTCTTAAATTACAAAGCTGCTACCTGAGGTATGTCATTAAATGTTCCTTTAATGAGGGTCTGTCTGTGGAGCTTTCTCATTCTTTCTTTGTCTGAAAATGCATGTGTTTTGCTCATGTTCCTGAATAAAGGGTTTTGTGGAAGAGAGAATTCTAGGATGACAGGTATTCATCGAGTGTCTATTGAAACATCATTCCCCTGCGTCCGGCCTCCCACCACTGCTACTGAGTAGCCAGCCATCATTTTAGTGCTTTTTGTCTGTTTCTTCATTTGTTTTTCAGTGGTGGTTTCATTGATGTTGTTTTTTTTCTGTATAGAAATCTGTCTTTGCTCTGCACCTAATTTTAAGATTTTTTTCCTTTTCAGTAATCTTCAGTTTCACATTGAAGTGCCTATGTGAGAATTTCTTTATATGTATTTTTTTTCTCTGTAACTTTTTATTTTTAATTCAAGGTCATCCCTCCAGTATTAACATCAACATCTAATTTATATATTTTTATGGTCAAATAATATTTTTCATTGTTTAACCATAATTATAAACGTTTCAGTGATTTCGGTGACACATAAAGCTACAGCACACACCTTCACACGAAGAGTAGCACTGGTGGTTCAGAAGTGTGTATGGTTTGCATTCGAGTGCACGCTTCTGGGGAGTTTCCTCCATCGTGCAGCAACTCGTCCTCAATGGCGAGCTCTGACTGGGGCTTATCCTCATCAGCTATGAATGCTACTGCCTTTTAAACTTTGTATAACATTGTATTTCTTCTATTAAAGTATATATGATATAAACTCTACCTTAAAAAACCAAAAACTAAACGTTAAGAAATAGTAGTGAATGCAAATTAAAGGAAAAATAATAACCTATTTTTTACCTGTTAGATTATACAAAGTTTGAGAGTTTCTTTATATTAATTCCGCCTGCATTTTGTTGGGCTTTACATTTGGTGTCTTTCAACAATTAAAGAAAATTCTCAGCCAGGATTGCCTCCAAGATGGCTTCTTGCCCATTCTCTTTGTCTCCTGAAGCTCTTATACCTACCTGAAAATTTTTTTTTCACTGCCCTCCGTGTCTTTTAACAATGTACATATTTTTAATTCAAGTCATCCCTCCAGTATTTTACACCGTTTTTCAGTGTTTTTACTCATTGCGCTGCAGTTTGGATAATTTCTCCTCTTTTGTCATATAGTGGTTGATTCTCTTTCAGCTCTAAGTCTCCTGTTTAATCTGTTCAACAAGCTTTAAATTTTAATTATACTCTCCATTTTGGGATCTTCTATTTGACTATTTCATAATTTTGTTTGCTCATCTTTATACCCTCTTTTTCTTTGCTCAAGTTTTAAGGCTTCTCTTTTATTTAACCATTTTTGTGAGTTTTATAATACATTTATTAGAGGATACTCTAAAGACAACATTTGATTTGTCAGCTTAAAAATGGCTTGTTTCTTCATGCCATTGATTAATGTTAACATAAAGGCCCACAGAAAATTGTTAGCTTCTTTATCCTGGAATCACCCATTATTGTAGCATAATATGATCATTCTTGCTGTGGTAAAACACATATTTAAAGCTTTTCCCATGCTTCTCTTTACAAAATAATGCCACCACAGGCCATCATTTTTATGTTATTTACTTTAATAAATTTTGTTGTTTCTTAGAGTTCATCATTCAATATTAAAGTTCTTACACTATCACAGATTTGGGGCATATTTGAAGAACCTCTGAAATTGCCTCCATTTCTGACTCTGAAACAATGCTGAATTTATCCTTGAACTTAAAGCTGGGTCAGGGCAGGTACTGTAACCCACTGAGACTGTAAGAGGTTGCCTAGGCTTCTAGAGGGTGATTCCTAAAGAAAACATTTCTGTCTGGGCTGATATTTCACCCTTAAAGGGTGAAGTGACTTGTTTTAGTCTGTCCTGAACTGATGTCCAAGAAACTGCAGAGAAGGCTCTTTCCCCTGCTATGTGGGTCAGGGACAATGCAGCAAGGTGCTTAAACAAGAATTCTTTCTTCGTCCTTTAAATATATTAAATATTGTTATTTTATGTTCTGCATCTGAATTCCCATATCTGAAACCTTAACAGGTTTAATTTTGCTTTTTCTGCTGGTTCCTACTCATGGTGACTCCCTTCTTTGTATATTTTGTGACTTTTGATTGTAAAAATAATGTCCCTCAGAATCTTACCTGTGGAACTTCTCTGAGGATTGGATTCTACTTGCATTTCTCCAGAAAGGATGTGTATTTGTTTCTGCCAGTCATCAAGGGACTCTCCTAACACCAGACCAATTGTACTTTAACTTGTGCGGTAGTCCACCTAGTGCCCAGATGAAGGCTGGCAAGTTTCCAGACTGTCCCTTTTTGTGCAAGCACATTTATTTCTTGTTCACCTTATGGCACACAACTTCATGTGCAGCTTTCCTGTTAGCCTCCTCATGTTGTGTGGGTACAAGGCTTAAACATACCTATTCATCATGTACCATAAAGCAATCAAAATAGAAGTTCAAGGTCTCCAAAGTTCTATAGATATTATTATATGAAAGCCAGCTTTGAGAGTTGCTTGGTTCTTGCTTTCAATACACCTTTAGTCTCTCGGGATTCCTTACTTTCATGCTACCTTAGTGAAGCATTATTAAATGATTTTGAAATATTTGCTTAAGTGTTTTAGATGCTTTAGCAGAAGGCTTTTTTCATACCATCATGTATACCAAACAACTAGATGCAGAAGCTGATGATTCTCTACCTTACTCTGAAGTCAGGCATTTTACTAGGCCATTCCACTGACACCGCTCTTGTCGGGACCACTGACACCCTTCATGTGGCTGAGTCCTGTGGTAACTATCAGGCATCATCCTACTCGTACCTCTGTGCAGGATTTGGTGCAACTGACCACTCCCTCCTTCCCAAACAAATTCTTTCCCTGGCTCTCAAGATACCTTACCATTCTGGTTTTCCTTCTAGCTCACTGGCTATGCCTTCCTGATCGAACTCACCCCCTCTTCTAGACCTCAAGATACTAAAATTTCCAAAAAACCCACACCTGAACTTTCTTCTTTATCTACATTCTATCCTAGGTTATATCCAACCCAACATTTTAAATCCATCTGTGTGCTGATAACTACCAAATTTATATTTTCACCGTACCTCTTAGAAACTCTAGAATTACATTCAACTGCCTAATAGGTATCTCCCTGAGGTGTCCAGTGTCTGTGAGGCATCTCAAACCTACCATGTGTAAAACTTATCCCTCTCCCTCCAAAAAAATAGTCTTCCCCAATTCTTCTTTATATCTTTAAATGACATCAGCATTTGCCCCACTGCCAGGAGTTTATTAATTTTTCTCATTCCCTCACACCTGTTTCCCAATCCATTAGTGGGTCCCCTTGACTCTCTATGCAAAACTATCTTGACTCTGACCACTCCTGACGTCCAGAGTCTAGATCAAAACCAGCATCTCCTGTCATCTGGACAGTGATTACAGTCCCTGAGAATGCCCCCTGTTCTTGTATCATCCTCACCAAGGCCACTGTCACCATCATCACTATCACCTCCACCCATAAAACCTGTGCTCCTCCAGCTACTCTTAGAAAATATAAACCAAGTCACATTACTCTCCTCCTCAGAATTCTCATGCTCAGACTGGTGCCCTTCCTCATGCCACTCCTTCTATCTGGAAAGCTCTTTCCATCCCTTCTGAGGTTTACTCCGTCGCATCATTGACATTTTTGTTCAAAGATCCCCTCACTTAGGGAAAAAGCCTTCACTGACCCTCACACGGAAAACAGTCCCATTATTAGTCTCTATCTCCTTACCTCACAGCACTCATCAGCACGTGAAAGTATACAGTTCATTTTATCTAGGTTTCCTCTTTTCACCTTGGAATATAAGCTTTATCAAGGCAAAACCCTCATTTATTTTATTATTGTTCTACCCTCTGAACCTGGAAGCATGCTAAAACTCATAATAAATGCTCACTAAACTGTTTTGAATTAAGGAATAAATTTCACTTAATTTTCACATGACCAGTGAGATAGAAATGGCCTTTCCAATCTTATAGATGAGGACACTGAGGCTCAGAGATGCTGGATAACTTGACCATCAGTTACACATCTTGTGTCAAAATTAAACCCAAATGTGTATAATTTTAGAGGCACAGTATTTTTTACTTTCTATATTTTTAACTTTTCACTTTGAAATAATTTCAGAGTTACAAAAAAGTTGCAAAAATAATACAGTGTTCTTTTACCTTCATTCAGCTTCCCCAAATGATAACATTTTATGTAACTGTAGTACAAGTATCCAAACCAGGAACTTAATAGTGAAGTGGAATAGTAACTATTCATATTTCAGCAATTGTCCCATGAATGTGTCATGCCTCCGAGTCTCCTCCAGCATGGAGGTCGCAGCCTTGTCTTTTGTGACTGACACTTCAGAAGAGGGCTGTATTCTCATTGTCATGATATAGTCAGTATAGGATGCCGGGCACAAGGAAAGTTGTCCACAATAAAGCTATAATTGTTGGGGGAATAAATAAATCTTCCTTTTGAAAAGTAGAAGGAAAATGTCTCCTGCTGTTCTGTTTTCTGTAGTTTGGCAGACCTTGAACTGTTTATAAAAAACAGTGAGAATGGCTTGCTCAAGAAAGTTGAAAAAGGAGACTTCAAAGGACTGGTTGAGATTATGGAACACCTTATGGCCCTTAAAGAACGGCAGAGCAGCACTGACGAGATGTTCGAGCCCTTAAAGCAGAGCATTGAATTGCTGAAGATCTACAGACAAGAATTGCCAGAAACAGTGTTTAAGCAGCTGGAGGTCAGTGTGAAGTTTGTTCTCTTAATAAAAGAAGTAATGGGAAAGTTTTGGGATTCCAGAGATGGGTTTAAGTAAGTGAAAAACAGGGTGTCGTGATGCCCTGGGCCATGTTCTGGAACTGTATGTGTGGTGTGTGTGTAATGGTGAGCACATGCTTGAAATGCAATAAATATGAAACTGTAATGCTGGAGATATGTAGGGGAATTAATATAGATAAGTGTTTGGGGGGGTCAGAATTAGGGATGAGCCAATATTTTGATGCAGAGATAACAAGCAGGTCTGAGAAACATTAAGATGTTGTAAAAGGAAATGTGGGGCGTGAAAAAATCCCAGCCCTCTTGAAAGAGCAGAAAAGGGTGAGGACCACTAGCTGAGAGGTTAGGTCAAAGAGAATGGTATTGAGTGGGGAGCAGGAGATGGTCAGAAGAGCAGGCCACCAGGGAGGTAAGTCAAGGCAGTGGGAGTGAGAGTGGCCCAATGACCCCGGGACATTGTCCCATGGCACAATAGCAGAGACAAAGACATGAGGGTGCTGTCCAGCCTCAGGACAGTGGGGGCAGGGGAGCACAATGTGGGTCTGACCACACTGAGGTCTCCCTTGCAGGAGCTGCCTGAGAAATGGAGCAACATAAAAAAGTTGGCCATTACTGTGAGGCAGCACGTGGCCCCCCTGCAGGCGAACGAAGTGGCCCTTCTCCGCCAGAGGTGCACAGCCTTTGAGATGGAACAGCAGCAGTTCTGGGAGCAATTCCACATGGAGGCGCCCTTCAGGTAAGGACCAAATTGCTGCCACTACCTTTTTTCCTGTGCACCTGGCAATCTTTGAGTCACTGGAGCTCTCTCCATGGAGTTGGTGTGTTATTCAGGGTATGAGCACCAGTCAACAGTCTTCCCTGCCTCTTAGGTCCACAGGTTAGAACACGGTGCTGACATGGGCAGAGTCCTGTCACAGCCTGTGTGAGATGACCAAAAGCTGAACTGATACTTTGCCTTGAAAAAGTCTGGAATCTTTTCTTCCTCCAGGTCTAGAAAGGGATTTAATGTGGTAAAATTACTAGAGGGTTTTTTACAAAAAAAATGAACTTGACATGTAACATTGGGTAAGTTTAGGTGCACAGTGTGTTACTTTGACACATTTATACATTGTAATATGACTGCCGAGGTAGTGATATTTATCACACTACATAATCATAGTGCAGTATTGTCTATATTTATTATACTGTGCATCAGCTTTTATGGCTTATTGACTACTCATTACAAGTGTGTTCCCTCAAATATCATCACTCTTGTCTCCACTCCCGTTGCCTGTAACCACCATTGCACTCTCTGTTTTTTACAGGTTTAACTTTTTAAGAATTGACTTATAAGTGATATCACACAGTGCTTGTCTTTCTCTGACTTATCTCACTTGGTGTAATATGCGAAAGGTCCACCCATGTTGTTGCAAATGGGAGGATATCCTTCTGTCTCATGGCTGAATAATATCTTGTTATGTATATGTTTCACATCTTGTTATTTTTTCCTTAATCGCTGGGCATTTGGGTTGTTTCCATGTCTTGGCTGTTGTGAACAATGCTGCAACAAACACAGGAGTGCATATATCGCGTGGAGTCCCTTGTTTCTTTTCTCTGGTTGTATTCCCAGAAGTGGAGCTGCTAGATCATACGGTAGATCTACTTTGACTCTTTTGAAGAAACTCCATGTTGCTTTTTATAGTGGTTGGAACTAAAATTACTAGGTTTTTACTAGACTATTAATATTCAAAGTGCTCACAGACTCCTTTTGGTTTAAATAAATGGCTGACAGAATTTTAAATAATTTTGGAGGGCATTTTGGTGGCCTGAAAGAAGGATTCGAGGTGAAAGATTTACTTCAGGGTGTTCTCTCTCTACGTAGCCAGGCCCAGACGCCTCCCTCCTTGTGATGACGGCTCTTTCCATAAACAGAACAATGGCAGGATGGGCAACCCCACTCCCATGCACACACGGGCTCCCTCCCTTGGAGAAGCAGTCTACCTGGGGTCACTCTGCATCCACCGCACAGCACCAGGGGCTCCACCAGAACATGCTGATTATCAATGGTTCTGTGTCTGCTGAGGAAGTGGGTGCCCTCCCCTCATTTGAGCTCCAGGATTTATTTTCTGTTTCCCTAGCTGAGCTTCTCTCTGGCTCTCCTCTATAGGTTTGGATAGACAGACAAATTTGGAAGTCTCCAAACCTGAAAATGCCCTACGTAAGGAGAAAGGAACTTTTTCATTTGCAAGAGTTACTTACCCACAGAAATATAACATTGAGAGATACAGGTTAACATAACAAATGAAATGAAAAACCCACAACTTCATTGGAAGGAAATAGAGCACAATGATTAAGTCCATAGACCTTGGATTCAGGCTGCTTAGTGTCTAATCTCAGCTCAACAACTCACTGTGTGTGTTAGGGAAACAGTGTCACATCTCTGTGTTTCAATTTCCTCACCTGGTAAATGGGGTTAACAATAACATTCACCTCAGGAGATTGCTGATAGGATTAAAGAAATAATCTTTGCAAGTATTTGACACCTGACACTAGGGAGACCGATCCTCCTGGTTTTCCTGGGGCTCTCTTTGGTCAAGCACTGAAGGCCACATGTCTGGGAAAAGGCCCTCTCTTTCAGGACTGTTGATCACCCCACCTGTCATGCAGTAAGGGCCTACCTATCCTTATCATTTTTCATCAAACATTTACTAGGCAGCTACTACCTCACAAACATTATACTTGCAGCTATAGAGAACAGGATGAGTACGTTAAGAGTCAGGGAGGGACACACGTGTAAACCTTGCTTAAGGTACACAACCTTTGTCTCTAAGCATCATGCTGGCATTTCAGCGGCACGTTAGAATCACCTGGAGAGCCCCGAAGACTTCCAGTGTCCAACTCTGGCCAGGGGGCTCAATTGGTTGGAGCGTCGTCCCATACACCAAAAAGGTTGCGGGTTCGACTCCCACTCAGAGCATATACCTGGGTTGTGGGTTGGATCCCTAGTGGGGGCATGTACAAGAGGCAACCGATGTTTCTTTCTCACATCGATGCTTCTCTCTCTCTCTCAAATCAATAGACATATCCTCAGGTGAGAATTTAAAAGAAAAAACTTCCAACATCCAGCCTTTCTATAAACCAACTAAATAAATCAGATTCTCTGCAGGTGATGCCTGAGTATCAGTATTTTGTGAAGCTCCCCAAGTGATTCCCTTATGCAGCCAAATTGTAGACTGCTGCCCGGAGCGGAGTAACCGGTTTCTCCTTAGGCGACTGTGCCAGGGCATGTGCCTCCAAGTGAGTCTGTAGCCTTTAGAGTAATCACCTTAGGACCCATACCCTTGTTCCAGAGAAGGAGCAATTGCTCAAAACATCTGTGAAACTCCATCAGGGACTTTTCTTTCAGAGTTTGAGGCATGTTCCTTTGACTCTCCTTTGGCAAGCAACAGAACTTTTGAAATTCAGCACTGATCGTGCAGAGCTGAAGCTGATGCAGGAGCTGGGTTATCAAGCTGGGTAGTCCTGCTTTGCGTTAACAACAATCACACCGACTGAAGCAGCCATAAAAATAACGACAGTAATATTTTTGCATCAGCTGTCTCTTAAGAAAATTTCAAGAAAGGAATTCCAAAGATATTTAGTGAAATATCTTTCCGAACAGGCTTCTGAGACCACTTGAAAGGAAACAGCAACACATTTACTGGTGTGTTTTTGTGTGTCTGTTGGAAATCTGGCGTCCCTCCCTCATTCATAGTTACATCGTGTGAGTGTATCGATCAGCTGGTGTTGTTCATTTGATAGCTGCATTGTGTTTTCTTTCTTAGCACTTGTATCTGCTGGCTATGAGGACATCGCTACTCTTTGCTGGGTTTTACAAATTCACATCTGTTAGTTTGACATGCAGATGAATCTTTGCAGAAGAATACTTTGAAAAGAACTGCTCACAGCAGTGTGGAAAACCAAACGTTGCTGCAATTTTGATGTATTTCTCCTCTTGTCAAGAAAACGGTCAGAACTAGAGCAGAATTGGAGATGCTGCTGGAGGGAATCTTCGTGGATGTCAGCTCATGTTTTGTTTTGTTTCTTAGTTTGGTGTTTGTGAGAGTATGTGTTTAAAAGTTTTAGGCACTCTGTGTGGCAAATGAGTCTAATTCTGGCTCCTTCACTTTTAAAGCCTTAACAAATTTCTGAAATGCAGGCCCTAGTACATTCCTCTGTGCATGCCAGTTTCTGTTTTTGATTAGACAGAGGTTGACCTAGCACCAATCTTGTCTTTGAGGAGCAAAAGGAAGTGAGTGTCTCATTAGGCTCTTGCAGTCTGATAGTTGCTGGGTGAAGTCAGGTTGCTTAGGTTGAGGTTCTTCATGTCCAAGTCAAGTTTTCCCTTCTCCTTTAGTTCTTAATTCTAAGCTGTATCAGCATCTTCTTAGCTGAGCTCTCTCACTTCCAAGCAGTTGGCTAAATCATCATGCTCAGATTCAAGAACTTTCCACAAATTTTAGAATTGGAGACTAACTTTTCCTTTTAGGGAAAGGAATGCTTCATTTGTTCTTCTAGCTGCATTCTCTACCTCAGCCTTCCTGACCTTGAGCAAGGTCTTTCTGACCTTCAGAAATGATGCTATGACATACAGTCTTCTTCCCACGTCAACGCCAAGGTAATCCAGGGGGTTCTAAGCCCAAGCACTTAATCCCTGTGAGATCCAGCTCAGTGGAGACCATTAGTGTTCTCAGCTGCCTGGCAACCAGATCCCATGAACAGTTGGGAGAGCATTCTTGGAGACATTCTCCCATTGGGTGTTGTCCTGCATGATAACTAGAGAAAGTGAGGCTTTCCAAACCACCCTGTGCAGCAGGCACGAGGAAAAGGGGCTCTGTCTTGCCTGCACAATGACTGTTGTCTCTTTGATAGCAGGAGGGAAGAGCTGTATTACTCGCTAAATCTCCCAGGGACATACTACCTCCTGAGACAGCCATTAGTTCATCTTGACCCTGTTCTTCTAGTGAATCTGACTTGGTCACCTGATTCAGGCTTCTGTGGAGCTGAAGAGGCTCTGGTCCTAATAGTGGAATTAGCCAAAACTTATGCAAGTGCTAGGATTTTAAAATAATACATATTTCCTGACCTCAACGATTTATAGCCTCAGGGACAATTTAGAAAATGAGTAATTAGACATGTTCATTGGGTGCCAACTTTAACTTGCACAAAAGAGGCAATCCACACCTCCTGCTGAAGATGTTGCTTGACCCAACAGGCAAATGAAAATTAGCCATTTTGAGGAAAGAGGTATGGGAAGTGAGGATATTCTGGGTAAGGGAAGCAGAATGTACAGAGGCACAGAAAAATAAAAATACTAGAAATAGCTGGAGACCTGCATATGTGCATGCTGGAATGCAAGAGATGGGAGATGAGAATGGGAAGGGGAGCTGGTCCACGTGCCCAGGTTTGGTCCATGAAGAGTCTAAATACCATGTGCTTATGGCCATGGAAGACAGAATGGAAGGAAATGGACTCAAGGCCATGTGTTCCATGGGAGAATGGATTTGAGAGAGATTTGGGAAGGACCATTAGCAGAATTGACTGAGTATGGGAGAGGAATAGGGAAGAGAGTTAAGCATAATTCCCCATCTTCCATTCTGGCAAATAGGTAGAAGGTATTGTTTCACCGCTCATTGGGATTGGGGGCCACTGAATGAGAAACACTGAAAGATCGAAAATGCAGATCAGACATATTGTTTTATGGCACTTTTGGGGTATCAAACAGAGGTGTGTCATCATTCACTGTGGAGGCAGGTAATGTCACGGAGAGTAACATTTACCAGCTGCTAGCTTCCCAAGAATTAAGTCACTTATTCCACTCTCTCTCTCTCCCTCATGTCTAGGTGAGACCTGCATCAATCATTTTTCTAAGATCACATCACACACATGAGCACTGTATTTCCATTTCTCTTAACAATAGTTTTATTCATCCAGACTTTCCAGGCATTTCTCTTTTGGATTAAAATACTTTTGCATTATTATTTTAATTTCAAAGACTTACTACACCCTTTTCTCTTCTATTATATTCTTGTTCTTATACTCTATTGCTCCCTCAGGGTTTGGAGAGCTGCTTCAAGTTTATTAGGTACATTAATCAGGTCTGTGAGTATCCTGACAATTTGCACTAGAGTTTTGAAATGGGAAGAGGTTACCTGCCCTCATGTCTAGAGGTTTCTTTCACTCCTTAAGCCAAATGAAATTTTATGGGTGCTCAGCTATAGGAAATGACTGTCCACAAATTAAACTATAAACAAAAATTATGCCACAGGATAGATAAAATTTCAGGTTCACCGTAGTCAAGATAAAAAGTAGAACATACACATGCCAGCAATTAATCTTTGCAAATGAAGAATAAGCAGAAGGGCAATTATGCAGTTTTATAAGGATGTTACATTTCTTTCCTTCTAGATCTTTTTTCCCATGCTCTTACAGGAGAGAAAGCCCCTTGCCCACAAAGACAGAGGGCCCTCTACAGCTCTGGGAACTCCAGCCTCACGTTTTGTTCTGAAACAAAAATTAGCCATTTGGACAAGAGAGGCATGGAGAATAGAGAAGGCATTTGATGATGTTCAATCTCATTCTTGTAAGATGCAAACCCATGATCATAGCACATAGGCCAAAAACTATTTAGATTGAACAAGTGGAAATCAAACATAGCAAACAACAAAGCTAATCTGACACTAATTTAATGGTATGCTTAACTGTTGTTTTGTTGCCTGATAATTAGGCTAAGTGGTGAGCTGTTCAGGTAAATAGCTGTAATTAGGATTACTTTCCATCCAGTCAAATATTTCCAAAGACAACTGAGAGAGGATGCAGTTCAAGAAAAAAGAGTTTATATGTGATTCTCTTCCCTTTTACCTCCTCTCCATACCCCACCAGTTAACGCATGTGTGCATGCACACACACGTGCACTCCCACATGTGTGCACTACCATATATTACATCAGTGGAAATGACCATCTTCTAGTTACTCATTTCCTCTCATCTGTCACCTTGATGACATAATCTATGATGTCCTGTTCTGATTTTAGAGGGATATAGCGTCCACCCTAAGTCATAGTAGCCTCGATATCTAGCCCTCCAAGCACACAGAAACAAGAAAGCCTGAGATCAGTGGCAGAAAGAGAGGGTTTAAGGGAGGTTAGGAGAGAAAAATGAGAGGCTCCTTGAGCACATGGGTTCCAGGTTCTACTGACTAAAGAGATGCTATTTGCCCATGTGGGTTCCTTTGCATGTGGATTTCTTATGTTGGAGTGGGGGCTACACAGGAGATGCTGGTCTGGAGGGGTAGCAGCAGGTTCACCCCGCTGAGGATTGGGAGTGGTGGGTATGTTCCACAAGCATCAGAGAGAAGAGGATGAGGAAACATGAACTAAAAGTGTAAAGCTAGACATAGTGCTTATGGGAGTTACACGTGGAACTGGAGGCTGCCCCTGGATGCAGGAGGGAGCAGCCAGAGAAGGGTGAAGGGGCAGATCACAGGCAGCTCGGCAAGGGGACTGCAGAAGGTGAAAGCCTGCCTGAGGTGCAGAGTGACTGTCTGGGGCCTTGGAAAGGGCTCTGTGTTCAGTCTTCAAGTGGTTCCCAGACTTGGAGGTGCTGCTGCCTGAAAGGGCTGCAGGCTGTCAGACAAGGACACCAACCTGGTACATCAGAACCAGCGGGGGGTTTTGGTGGGAGTCACTGCTCTTTGCTGACATACTAAGCACTGAAAGATCTGAGCTGGTGTTACTTTGGTGATTCTAGGAAACGGGTGCCTGTCTGCTATACTTAAAAGTGAACACACTGTGTTTTGTAGGTTTAATAGCACTGACCCTCATCGAATGCTGGATGCCAGGCACAGTGAGATCCAGCAAATGGAATCCACCATGGCCTCCATTGCTAACACCGCCAGCTTGTTTGAGGTCAACGTTCCTGACTACAAGCAGCTGAGGCAGTGCAAGAGGGAGGTCTGCCAGCTGAAGGAGCTGTGGGACACAATTGGCATGGTGACCTCCACTATCCATGCCTGGGAGGCCACTCCATGGAGGAATATCAATGTAGAGGCCATGGACTTGGAGTGCAAAAGATTTGCTAGGTACCTCCGGAACCTTGACAAGGAGGTCCAGACCTGGGAGGCATTCACAGGCCTGGAAAGCACCGTGTTGAACACCCTGACCTCACTGAGGGCAGTGGCTGAGCTACAGAATCCAGCTATCCGGGAGCGGCACTGGAGACAGCTGGTGCAGGCCACAGGCGTGAGCTTTGTCATGGATGAGGGCACCACCCTGGCACACCTGCTGCAGCTCCAGTTGCACTGCTTTGAGGATGAGGTCCGGGGCATTGTGGACAAAGCTGTGAAGGAGATGGGTATGGAGAAGATCTTAAAGGAGCTGCAGACCACCTGGACCAGCATGGAATTCCAGTATGAGCCCCACCCTCGGACCCACATCCCTCTGCTGCGTTTGGATGAGGACCTCATTGAGGTTTTAGAAGATAACCAAGTCCAGCTGCAGAACCTGATGATGTCCAAGCACGTTGCTTTTTTCCTGGAGGAAGTGTCACGCTGGCAGAAGAAGCTGTCCACAGCAGATGCTGTTATCTCTATGTGGTTTGATGTGCAGCAGACATGGTCTCATCTGGAAAGTATATTCATTGGCTCTGAAGATATCCGGGCCCAGCTGCCCCAGGTACCTGCTAAGGAAATCCTGCTTCTCTGTTTCCTTACCTGAGTCAAGGGGAGAGCACCCAGTTACTGCTCTGCCCGCCTGCCTTGGCTTCACGTAAGGCACCTCCAACAAACAGGACCTTACAAGCCACCAAAAGTCAGGCAGGGAAAAAGAGAGAATGTGAAATGCACACCAATCACTTTGTTTGTAGATGGTTGGAGGGGGGAGGAGAAACTGCTTTTAAAAAGTAAATACAAGAAAGGATATGAAAGATATTACTACTGCCTTTGGGGATGAGCTTCTCATGGGTTGCTTTGCAGATAAATTACAATGCAGGTTTAGCCTAGAAGGGAGTATTCTTTTCAGGAAAATTCAAGTCCCTTCTCAGCAGTGAGCCTTTCTGTAAACCTTTGGCCTCTGCCAGATGCTAAATACCTGTCTTCAGCTAAATAGTGAACAATGAGTTTCTCTAAAATATGTATTCTCATTACTTCCTTCCCTGTGGTTGATTGACTCTTGTCCTAATTATTGTGCCATTAACTTGCCTCCCTCTCAGTGGACTCTAATTCATTTGAAAAACATTTTTTTGCAGGCTTTTTCTGTATCTCTTCAGCACAGCAAGTTCTTTACTTACAAATCAGTTTGATTCCAAAATGTAACATGTTGTTCAGGCTTTGCTTAAAGGTTAAAGCACATTTCATTAAAACATTATATTTCCCAACTCATCTCACAAAAGCATATGTAATGTAATAATGCAGATTAAAGGTTGTACATTTGGAATGAAAACAACAGAAAACAATTCTGTTATAGCTGTTGTAATTAAACCAAATTGAACAAGCCAGACTTTATTTATCTCCAATGCTAGTGACTGAGGAAGAGCAGGTTTAATTAGAAGGAGGTGAGGAGCCAGGTGGAGACTTTTGTAGAAACTTTATGGGAAACATTTGAGAACTTTCAATTAAACATAATAAAGAGTTAGTATCATTAACTTTTCCACACAGGCTTGTGTTAAAATATGTAAATATACATTAATTCCCTTTGTATTAGCCAAGCAATAACAGAAACAAAACAACAAAATCAATCATAACCTTACATTCTAACTAGTAACTACTTACATTCATTATGAATATTTCCCAACTTTTGTTCATGTATATATGTATTTTCACATAATTCTTCTTAGTATAACTATAATTTTTATCAGCTCTTTTTACTCAAACACATACGGTAGATATTTTCAATACTTCTATAACCTTGATACTTTTTCACCTTTAATTGGAGGAAAATATCTCATTGAGGAACCATAGTTTACTTTAGCCTGTCCTCTTGCTTTTAAATCTTCTTATGAGAGAGGTATGGATTCCAGAGGCCTGGGCAGTCTGGGGCCATTGGTGGACTTGAGTCCTAACTCTCCCACTTACAGCTGTGGACCTTGTTCAAGTTAACCTCTCTCTGGCCTGGTTTCCTCCTATTAGGACTGATACTAATACCCACTTCAGGAAGTTGATTAAAACAGCATGTGTAGCACACACCATTATGATTGTTGCTATGTGATAATAGTACCACAGTTTTTAGCAGGTGCCAGGCATTGGCCTAAAGTACTCTGCAATCATATATTATTGTCTCAGACATTTGAACAGCACTGTGAGAGTGTGTGTGTTTGGGGGAAACAATGATACCTCATTAATTTTGACATCACATTTGTTGGAGAGAGATGTACCTTGGTTACATTCTGCATGGCCCCAAGAAAAAACACTGGATCCAGTGTGTTTAATGCCAACCACTCTCAAAGTGTGGATCAGTGATCCCTGAGTGGTCCCTGAGACCTTTTCAGGGGATCCTCAAGGACAAGCCTATCTCAATAAAAATCTGAAATGTTACTTGCCTTTTCATGCTCATTCTTCCATGAGCGCCCAGTGGAGTTTCCTGAGGCTACATGACAGGTGATATCACGACAGACTGAACACAGAAGCAGAGAAGAGAAGCTGGCCATCTTCTAAACCAGAAATGACATGACAAATATTTGAAAACAAAAGTAAAACAATGCTACTTTTTTTCTCTAAGTTATTATGTTTTGAAAAATACAATTATTTTGGATACATACATACCACTCTCATAATTAGTAAATGTTGTTACTTTAAATGAATTAACAAATACTTTCATAATTTCTAAACTTTGAAATTCTTATAGTTTCTAATATAGGAGATATACTGACAGGTGTAATATTACCTACTTACAAAAAGCTTTAGCTCTTTGTGCTCCAACAATTTCTTTTTATGTTAAGGGGGTTTTAAGACCAAAAAGTTTAAGAACTGCTGTTTTAAGCTAAAGATATTTCTTTCTTGGAGCCTTAGGACAACCTAAAAACAGGGTTTTGTTCTGACTTGCTATGTAAGGGGAGCTTCTTGGAATTAAGAGGAGTGATAGTTAATTTTTTCCCACATTTTTATTTATAGGATTCTGAACGATTTGAAGGAATTGACATTGACTTTAAGGAGCTAGCTTATTATGCTCAGAAAACTCCAAATGTAGTGGAAGCCACCAACAAGTCAGGTCTTTATGAACAACTGGAAGATATTCAGAGCAGGTGATGCCTTGCTTGCCATTCCTGAGACCCTTCCTTTGTTTCACTGCCCAAGGGGGTGAGGGTGTGTGTTTGTGTGTGCTTTGGCTTCACTGTAGGTTGGGTGACATGGGGTGTTATTACAGGTGTTTATTCTGATGGAAGTGTATTAGTGCATATGTTTGCAAATACCCCTGCTCTGATTTTTGCATGTAGTCTATATATTGCATGTTTTTGCATGCAGGTAATGTGTATGTACCTAGGAGTGTTGGCAAACTTAGGAAGTTCTGTGTTTGTGCTCTTAGGTTGCACTTGTGTGAGAAGGCCCTGGCAGAGTACCTGGATACCAAAAGGCTTGCCTTCCCTCGGTTTTACTTTCTCTCCTCTTCTGATCTGCTAGATATCCTTTCCAACGGCACAGCTCCACTACAGGTAAGCCAAAGGAAGGCTTGTAGAAACATCTGGGAGGCATGAAGAGCTCCCAGCAGGAGAGTTTTGACTCCCCACTATGATTTCTCTCTCAGGTAGTATGCACACTTCAGTCCTGTGCTCCCCCAGCATTGTCCCTAACCTCAAAGCTGCTTCCTTCTCACCATCACTGCTTCTCAGGATGCCCTCCAACCCATCAGTGCTATCAGTGGCTCTTACTCCCTAGAGTAGAACTGGAGAAGCTTTGAGGATGGCAAAATGGAAGGGGCTAGGCCTTCACAGGGGATAGTTGTGACCTAATTCTGAAGGGTGATGCAGTCAGTAGCAGTCAAAATTTACAGCTAAAAACTTCCATGGGTGGGAGCTCCTTCTTTCCTTCTGCTATGTGGTATTCTGTTGTGTAACTGTACCATAGTTTTTTGATCCACTCATTTACTGATGGGTACTTAGGTTGCTTCCAACAAAACAAACAAGCAAGCAAAATATAACCAGAGACATCGAAATAAAAAAACAAACTGACAATAACCAGAGAGGAGAGGGTAGGGGATAATGGGGTGGGGGTGGGCAGGGGAAAGGTCATCAAGGAACATGTATAAAGGATGCATGGGCAAAACCAAAGGGGCATAGGATTGAGGATGGGAGGTAGGGATGGGTGGGGCAGTAGGGAGGGGTGGGGGGAAATGGAGACAACTGTACTTGAACAACAATGAAAATTAAAAAACTAAAGTAAAAACAAAAACAAATGCCTGCAGAGGAACTTCCATGGGGAAAGACAGAAGTTATATTAACTCAACTTTGGGGTGGTTTAGTGGAAAGGTTGCATATAAGAAGCCCAAACTTTGGTTTCTATTGCCTGTTCTAGCTCCTTATTAGCCATATAGTTTGTGCACATTGCTCCTTTGAAACAAACTTTTCTATCTGTAAAATAGAAGAAGCCAACAGTGTTACAAGATTTTTAAATATTAAAGTAACTAATTGAAGCACTGTTGGTATTCAGAGCTAGTTCGGAGCTATAGTAAGTGGGTCTCAGACTTGAGAGTGTGTCAGAATCTCCTGGGAGGCCTATTGAAATAGCTTCCTAGGTCCTACCCACAGTGCATTTGGATCAGTAGGTATGAATTTGCATTTCTAAGGATTTCCCAAATGAGGCTGCTGGTTGAGGACTGCACTTTGAGATCCACTGCTCTTGATCAGAGTCTGAGTGCAAGTGATTGAGAGGAGGGAGGGATATGTCTCCACTGTGTGTTCCCTTGGCTTTCCTCCCTTCTCTCCCAAGGGAGGGTTCAAGATTTGTTTGTAGCTCTCTTATTTTCCTTTAGACAGAGGATATATACAGTGAAATACTTTGTTCAGAAGCTACTCAGATGAGTTCTCTTTCTCCTTCAGTGTGATTTTGTTCTTCATTCAAAGTGCGGTTGGGTTCTCTTTACTTTTAGTTTTCAGGTTCTCCCATCCTTGTTAATTTGACTTTTTGAATACATCAAATTATAAAAGTCAACTGTTGCACAAAGATGGGAGGTGTCACTCCTTCCCCATCCTTCCATGTCATCCCCACCTCCCCTTTACCCCCTAGACGCAACCAAATCCATTCATTTGGGGTTTACTTTTCCTATGTTTATATTTGCTAAAATAAGCAATGTAATTTACATTTGTACATGTACATTTTCTTATTTCCCTTTCTTTCTTACACCAAAGGTAGCATGCTTTAAAAAAAAAAAACTTAGTTATATATCCTGGAAATTACTCCATATTGATTTAAAGATGTCCTCTCTATGTTTACATCTGCATCATACTCCATGGACCAATATGCCATAGTTTGGTTATAAGTTGTTTATACTATTTTGCAATCACACATAATGCAGCACTGAGTAACTCTGAGCCTTGTATTATTAGAGGTTTATCTTCCAGGTAAATTCCCAGAAGTAAGATCGCTGGGTCCAAGGGTGAATGATAAGTGGTCTTGGTAGGTTTGTCCCATTCTCCTTTGTAGCAATCATATCCTTCCACATCACCACCAGCAGTGGACGAGCAGAGCCAGAACATGGCTCCAATGCCTGAGTTTCTATCTTCGTCATTGATTTGCAACTTAGTGAAATTTTTTGATAAGAAGAAGATACTAAATAAAGGTTAATCCTGATAATTATAGACCTTCTCTTCTTTTTCCTATAGATTAAAATATTTCCAAAGTAGCCCAGGCACAGTGGAGCTGAAATATTTAATCACATTAAAATTCTGTTTTATAACTATATCTTAATTAATTCTATGTATAGTAGGGAATCAAAAATCATTGCCAGAACTTCTGTAACTTTTATAAACAATATACTCATTATTAAATTTTTGGTTTGAGTAAACCTGTATTTTTCCACACCTCCCACCCAAGAGATAAGGCATAATAGAACAATCCCCAATTCCCTCTACATCTGTGACTCAGTCTAGTTTTCACATATGACTGATTGAATGGTTGGGTTGGAATTCACGAGCGACAGCAAATTCCCCCAAGTCCCTGCAGGCTCAGCTCTGCTGTTTCTTGTTACAGCAAAGTCATCTGAGGCCAGCCTGCCTGCTACGTTTTTTTAAACCTTTCTTGGCAGCCGTATTTCTCTCTATCTGAATCTCTATGAGATAAAAATTTAAATTACATTTTAATTTTAGAAAATATGTGTATGTTTAGATACTTTATCTTATTAATTTTTCAACACATATGAGGTTTTTTCCCTACCTTAAAACCAAGACTCATTATCTTGAAAAAGTTTTCTTTAGTAAGCATTTAATATTTCTATTGCATTTATCTGGATAATTTTCCCTTTGGGTTCATCATACTTTTGTATCTGAGATTCTCTTTTCTCTGTGCTATATACATTACCTTTATGTATTCATTCATATTTTCAAATATTTATATATTCCATACATATTTTTATCTCTTAGTCCTCCTCCTTGGCATTCTGCAATAGTTTCTCAAGTTTATCCACCCTAGCCCTGGCTGGGGTAGCTCAGTGGATTGAGCGCAGGTTGCGAACCAAAGTGTCGCAGGTTCGATTCCCAGTCAGGGTATATACCTGGGTTGCAGGCCATGACCCCCAGCAACCACACATTGATGTTTCTCTCTCTCTCTCTATCTCCCTCCCTTCTCTCTCTAAAAGTAAATAAGTAAAATTAAAAAAAATGTTTATCCACCCTATTTAATTAGCTTGTGTTAATCAGACCTTCAGTATTGCTAATGCTGTTACAAACTGTGCTGCCATTTGTTGGTTGCCTCACTTTACTTTTCTACCTCTACCATCTCATTTTATCTTCCATCTCACATTTTGTAGAGCTCCTGTGTCTTTTACTTGACTGAAAACAGTACAAGGTAATCTTTTTCACAATTATTTTTTTCCTTCATTAAAGCTTCATACACCCACACATATGCACACAACCTTACTCTATATTTTGAGTTCTGTTTCTCCTTTTAAGTTGTAAGATAATTTCATAGGTCCCAAGTTATTTGTTTGTTTGTTTGTTTGTTTGTTTGTTTAATCTGTTATTTATTCTTGGATTAAGAAAGGTTCATCATTCCCTGGCCGGTGTAGCTCAGTGGATTGAGCTCGAGCTGCCAACCAAAGCATCGCAGGTTCAATTCCCAGTCAGGGCACATGTCTAGGTTGCAGGCCATGGCCCCCAGCAACCGCACATTGATGTTTCTCTCTCTCTCTCTCTCTTTCTCTCTCCCTTCCCTCTCTAAAAATAAATAAATTAAACAAAAAGAGAGAGAATGAAACTGGAAACCTTTAAAAAAAAAAAAGAAAGGTTCATCCCATCAAGATATTCGTCCAAAGTCACTGTGATCTTGAAAACCTTCAGTTTACCTAAATACTTGAAAGTTTTAGTTTTCATCTTGTCTCATACGCTAGAGAGTTGGGTATTGTAAATTAAAAACTACACTCAGGGTACCAGCAGCATGAAGGACATTACCCTTCAAAAATCTCTATCAGAGAACAATTTTCTGTTTATTGTTTCATCTTTAGCCTGCTGTTTCCCTCAGCGCAGGACCACAGTGTGGCTCTGTCTAACATCCCTTCTGGAGAATATGCCTGAGGCATCCTTGTGAAGGACCTTTGTATTGTGAGATACATGCTAAGGAGAAGCCTGGCACAACCAGGCTTTCTGCTTGGAATAAGCATGCCTGCCCTGCTTTGGACCCTGCAGATGTTGGTCTGCTACACCAAAGCACTTCCAACAAGTGGGTGACTTCTTCCACAGGCTCCAGATTATGGCGAGTTAGCACTGTTCTGCAGACTAGGCTAGGCCTCTGTCATGCTACACAGCAATATTTTCTTAGGGAGAGGGTTTATGAATTAATCATCATTTCTTCTCTAATCTGTTCCCATCTGTAGTAGATCATGCAGATATTAACCAAACTTTGTTGGCTTCATTCGTTTGTAACTCATGTATACTTCCCACTAGTCATGTTCTTGTGGCCACTTCTACCCTATTTTGTAGGTTCCTATCCTCACATTACCATTGTTCCCACAAGCTTCCTTCAAATGTTTGGTACCCAACACTCTAATAGCCATCACATGCTAGACCTTTAACCATACTAATACTTACTCCTGCATATACTCACCAATTCTTTGGCATGGTTTCCTTTTACAGGTTCAACACCATCTTTCCAAACTCTTTGACAATATGGCCAAGATGCAGTTCCATCTGGATACCAGTGAGAAGCCAACCAAGATAAGTCTTGGCATGTACAGTAAGGAAAATGAGTATGTGGCCTTCAGTAAGCCCTGTGACTGCAGTGGCCAGGTAATGTGGAGTCCTTTTTCCTCCTTATGCCTTTCTCTCTCAAGTATCTGCATTCAGAGAATTTGCATTCAGAGAGTCAGCATCAGCCCTCAGGGTGGCCTTTTTGACCCTGGGCCAGAACTGCTGTCTGTGCCCTGGGTCTCCCAGCTCCCATTGACTTGATCCAACTTTGGAGCAGCTTCTAGTGCCTGCTTCCTTCTCTCTGGGAAGGACATGTGTCAATATTCATATATCTTCCTCAACCAAGGGCCTATACAGAGAGGAATCAAATGCACACAAACAACTCCCTGAGTTGATGAGAGAAGGAGTTTAAATGATTAGCAGTGTCAGGAGACTTAACATGCAGCCCTGGAGAAACCCATACAGGATTCAGGAACACCAACATCTTCTCCAGGAGAAAATACCCTTTAAAATCAACCATTTCCCTGAGATATCACTTCTCTGAACACATCTCCCCATCAGAGTCATTTCCTCTCACAGCCCTACCCCTTGGTGAGCCAACTACCATCTGTTTCCAAGAACCACTCCCTCCAACTCTTCTGTGTATAATTCAACAAACACAAAATATAGACAACTCTCTTTAAATATCCTTCCCATTCTTCAGTTCACCATTGTCACTAAGATATAATCCCTTCTTTGTACATTATTCTCAATGATCCAACAAAGCATTGTTCCTGAGGGTTCTTATCTAGTCCAAAGTAACACCAGGAGAAAATATCTTTTGTAAAGTTCCACCTTCATCCACATGTATCTTGAAAAGCAATTCTAGTACTGAAAAGAATCAGAGATTCTCAGTTTCATGAGAGGAACCCAGGGTTTGGTTCAGGATGTATTCTTTCTGTAGACCTAGAGAGCATGTAGTTAGAGAACATAATCCTGACTTACAAGTCCATCCTCAGCATGGACAATGGACAAGGTCATGAGAATCCAATGACTTACTTATACCTACCTCACCCCAAATTAGGATTTCCCTGATGAACTCAGGATTACAGCCCTCCCCCCACCACCACTGCCCAATCCCCTTAACCTGCTGCTCAGTCCTGTATATTCCAAATGATGCACCTACCTGTTGGTAGTTAAGCCTGGTTCTCATCTATCACTGTCCTGGGTTATACAAATGAAATATCTCCTGTGCCTGTGGCTGCCCTTTGGGCTATACATCAGGCCTAGGCTCCACTTTCTTCTCTCCCTCAGGCTGAGTAGAAAACATGTACTACAGATTATATCCTCTTAGGAACCCAGGATCTAATCAGGAATTCTTCTTCCAGGTAGAAATATGGTTGAACCATGTGCTTGTCCATATGAAGGCTACCATAAGGCATGAGATGGCAGAAGGTGTGACTGCCTATGAAGAAAAGCCAAGAGAACAGTGGCTCTTTGACTACCCAGCTCAGGTATTCTCCTATCCAGGACCTTCACAGCCCCCATCCTCCACCAGGCTTTCTCAGGGACCCTATTCAGCCTTCAGGGTTACCAGACATCAAACTCACTACTTGCTTCACAGTCAGGAGAAGTGTGTCTACAAAGGGTCAGCAAGAGTGAGTAAGAGAATCGTCAGCCATGACTTAATTTAACCAAAACCTTTGAAAACGAAGCATTGTTTATTTTTACCCTCATTGGCTATAGTAGGGAGGCAATGTATTAACCAGTTCAACTCATTGACCCTGACTACTTTGTGCCAAGTTCTTTGCTGAGTACAGGAGACACCAGAAGCAAACAAGACAATAAACCTGCCCTGCTGGACTTTACAGACTGGTGTTTCTTATGCCAGTGTAATAATAAAAGAGGCTCAGGGTACTCTGGGGACATATGGCTAGATAGTGGGTATAGGGACCACCTCTCTGAGGATATGATATTTAAATTGAGATTTGAAATAGGAGTTTACAAGTTAACGATGGAAGAAAAGAACAACTATGTATGGGGAAAAGCATGGACAAAGCCTCAGCAGCAAGGGAGAGCACAATGTGTTGAAGAAGTTGAGAGGAATGGAATGTGGCTGAAGCTACAGTAATGGGTAGAGGCAACAAAAGTCAGCAGATGGATTCTGGAGAGGAAACTAGAAGCCAGTTCTTATAAAACATGTTAGGGAGTCTGACTTGATTCTAAGACATGTCTGAATCCGTTAGAGTGTCCTCAAGAGCGCAATAAGAGGGGAGAACCAATTTGAATGTTCACAAATGGCTCTAGCTGCAATATACCCCTCCTCCCTTCCCCTTTTGGTGGCTATAGTACTAGTGTTGGTATATTTGGGGGTTGCAGATGTTTGGTGATAATTTCAGTTACAGGCGTAGGTAAGGTTGTTCTTGGAAGATATGTAGACTGAGATGAAAATGTAGAACAAACCCTTGAGCATCATTTAGAGGCTGAGTAGGCAAGGAGGAGGCAGTGAAACAAAATGACAAATGGTACCTTTTTAGATAGGAGGAAAGCCCAGAAACAATATCATGGAAACCAAAATAGAAACTGCTAATAGCAGGTGAGAAGCTAATTATGCTATGCCTTTCTAAGAGATCAAGCAAAATAAAGAGGCTGAGGAATGTCCATGAACTTGACAAGACCATTTCAGTGGAGTGGTAGGGAAGAGGCCACATTGTAGGAATTTGGAAAGTGAGAAAAAGTTGGGAAAGTGTTGACAGCAATTAGTAAGAAGAGAGATAAGTCAGCAGAGCATGAAGGGAGCAGTATTTTTGCACAGTACAGTTGGCACATCACATTCACATCCCATCAAGATCTTTAACAAAAGATCAGATGGGATCAGAATTTTGAGGCAAGAAAATTGGTTGCCTCCTACTATTGTAACAGGTATCATCTGGAACAGTGTCTTACAGACCAAATGACCCAACAGGTGATCAATGGATCTAAATTCACCACAAATAACCAAACTTACACATTTTTTCATATAAGTTTCTGAATAAACAGAAAAAATACTCATTTGGATTGCTTTTCCCATCTGTTTATTTTGAATTTCTGAAAAATGCAAAGCATACTACCACATTGAATTTTGATATAATTCAACTTGATCTTCAAGAGTAGGCCTTTCAATGTGATAGGTTTAAAAAACATAAAAAATGTAGTGAATGTACTATGGACAAGCAAAAATAGGCCACAAATGACCAGCAGTAGCTCACTAAACAAGAATACTCAGACCACAAGAGGTTCTAGAATAACAGAGCAAAGACTGAATGTAGTTGAGATGTTCAATCAACATATTGTTTTCCCCCAAAGCTCAGGGAAGATGCTGCAAAATGGAATGGTGAGTAGCAATTTCTAGAAGCCACTGACATTGACCAGAGGAAGTCTTTTGTTGTTCTCAACCAAATATTACATTGTTCAAGAGCAGAAAGTACTTTCCCCACTGTGCTGGCACCATGTCCCAGCTCCAAGGACTTATAAGCAGGTGACTACTTAATCCATGCTGCTGGGAGAGGGCAGGACAGCAGCACAATTCCCTCACACAATTCTGTTCTGAGTCCTTTCAGTGTGGTGAGTGGACTGGCTTTGGAGACAGTCCTGGTAATGGTTTTCCTAAGTGACTCTCGGTGCCCCAGGTGGCCCTGACCTGTACTCAGATCTGGTGGACCATGGAGGTGGGCATGGCCTTTGCCAGGCTGGAAGAAGGCTATGAGAGCGCCATGAAAGACTATCACAAGAAGCAAGTGGCCCAGCTCAAAACCCTCATCAGCATGTTAATTGGCCCGCTCTCCAAGGGGGACCGGCAGAAGATCATGACCATATGCACCATCGATGTGCATGCCCGGGATGTGGTGGCCAAGATGATTGCTCAGAAGGTGAGTCCTGACCACTCAGGAGTGTCCCTCTTTGTGAGCACACAGATATTGGGGTTAGGAAGAAGCTCATATATGGTCAAAACTGGTCAGAGAGCTGGGAAAAGGTCATGGTGCCTGCTCCAATCTTTTAAACCCCCCATGAAAACAGTGCAATCCCAGCAGCTCATGCTTTCTGGACTGAGGAAGGAACTGTGTGCTATACTCTTAATTGGCAGGCAACACCCAAGTCATTCAGAACCCTGCGTGTCATGAGGCTAGGAGCACCTGCTACCTGCTGCACACTGTGTTTTACCCACCTGCTCTGCCACTCTGTCTTTAGGTAGACAATGCACAGGCCTTTCTCTGGTTGTCCCAGCTGCGGCATCGTTGGGATGATGAGGCCAAACACTGCTTTGCCAACATCTGTGATGCCCAGTTTCTGTATTCCTATGAGTACCTGGGAAATACACCTCGCCTTGTAATCACACCTCTGACAGACAGGTGAGTGCTGGCATCAGCCATTGATGGAAAGCTGCTGTCTGGCTCAGGCCATCCAGTGGCCATCCAGTGGCCATCCAGGATCAAGGCCACTGTCACTGGGTATTTGCTCACAGAGTTGCAGAGGGAGGGCTTGACTTAGCACGAGAGATGTAAAATAAAACGGAAAGAACAAACCACAGAGCAAATCAATGAGCCGTGACTTTTTGAGACATTACTAAGCACTCATACACATTCACTTTCTAACACCAGTTCTAATGCATACCACCTGTTTGACCATGAAAAACTTGACCTTATTTTTGGTTTCCTCCCCTGTGAAATGGAGGTAGAGACATGCCTCACCTGAGTTTTGAAAGGATAAAAAAACAGCAATGCTTATAAGAAGCTTAGTGTATATAAGTGTTCCAGCCAATGATCCTTATTACTATTTTCTTATTAACTAATTGGCACATTTATTCAGCACCTCTCACTCTGGGAATACGAAGATAGAAGCAAGGTGCTTCCTACAATCAGGAGCTTACAGTTTTTTAGGGAACAATACTCTCTGCCATTCATATTAATTCATTTATGAGTGAGTTCATGCCAGACACTGAGTTAGTGACTGCAAATGACTAAACATTTCTTGCCCTTAAACTTCAATTCTAGTGAGGGAAATAAGACCTATGTAGATAACAATTTAAATAGCACAAGAGGGAAACATGCAAGGTCGTAGTATCAAATGGGCTCAAAGCCATGTGCTACAATATTTCTAAGCCAGTGACTTACCAGCGGAAGCCATCTGAGCACAAAGGGTCTCACCCACTGTGGGAAGAAGAGGATTGGTAGCTTCAGGACAAGCTGTTATCTGTTCTGGACCTTGAAGGATGTGTAGGATTTCAATCAGATTTCAGTAGGTTGTAGAACTATTGGGGTATCATGAAATTGTATATAAATCTGTGTGTGCCACTTTTTCTGTTGAGAGGATCTATAGCACTCCACAATTGTTCAAGTGGTCTGGGATCCCCAAAAGGTAAAGAAGTAATAAGCATTCTAGAACAGAAAATTTTGTGGGCAAAATCATGGAAATGGGAAAACTATAGACATGTACCTGGAAGAGAAGGCAAACTCTTGATAGTTGCTCGTAAGGCTGGGAAAAGGGGTAAGAGTCAGACTATAAGTGGAAGAATACATTTTTAATCCAGTAGGTAGTGATGAACTGTTGAAAATTTTTCATCAGAGTGAAATGATGAAAACTGTATTTTATGAAGATTTATTCAATGTCAGAACACGGCAAAGGAAAGAAAGGACAGGGGAATAAAGTCATGGCCCATGTGAGAAATGATACTTTAATTTTGCTCAGATTTCTGTAAATTCTGCTAAGAACTAGTGCCCTTTCCACTTACAATTCCACTGAACACTGAATCTCTTCTCCAAAGAATTGTATGTCTGAATGACTGGTTACCCTGAATAAGTGACTTGTAGGTAATGAAGAGATTGTCGGAAGTTTTGAAGGACAAAATGGCCAAATAGAATCTGTGCCATCTTTTACTTTTCTCTCTGTGTATTTTAAGTGTCATAATTGCATGTATTCTGGTTAAATTCTCAGGTGTAGTTCCAAATAATGTTTAGTTAAATTGTAATCACTGTGCTCACGGAGTGACTAAGATGTGGGAAGTCCAGAGTAGTGGGAAATCCAAACATCATCCAAACAGCAGGACCTCATGGTTTTTCTCCCTCCATGCTTTTCACTTTTTAAATTAATTTTCCTACCTATTCTGTTAAGATCCCATCCAGAGTCCCACCCAAACCATACCCCATTTACTCTTTTGGGGGGAAACCTGTGGAGGTCACATCACTGTCTTTCATCACTCCCCTATGCACTGAGACTGAAATCTGAATTCCTCATGGGACCTAGTAATTCCTATCACCTGCTCTAGCCACAACAACCTCCCTTCTGTTCCTGATTCGTTTAAGTTCATTCCAACCTCGAGCCTTTTGCATGAGCTGTTCCCATTGCCTGGAATGTCCTTCTCCATGCTCTCTGTTCCACTGTCACCCTCTCACCATTTAGATCTATGCTCAGTTCTGAGGAGAACTTCTATGAACACTGTCCGTAAAAGACAGCCCTTCATGCCTCGCACACAGACACACATGTGCACACTCAGCAGTCACCCCCATCTACCATTCTGCTAGCTTTTCCCCACATTCTGACATGACCTCGCTTGCTCACTGGCTGCACTCCCTTCTGGAATGTAAACTCGGTCATCAGAGACCTTTGTGTGTTTGGTTTGTTGCTATGTCCCCAGTACCTAGAAGATGTTGAATTAATATCTGTCAAATAAATGAATGGTGGTTGAATGTTGAAGACTAAGAACAGACAGAATCAAGGAGAGGAGGCTGACTCAGAGGAGGGATCCATGCAGGACTTGTCTATGCCTTGGCTCCTGAAGAAGGCGACAGGGCCAGAAGATCATGTGAGGAGCGATATTTCTCTGTCTTCTGCTTTTAGCTGGGGACTGCCCCTCCTCCCTGCCCCAGATTAGGGTCCAAGGCAGACTAGTCTGTCCCCAGGAGAACAGATTCCTCTGTAGCTGGGACAATAAAAGCAGCAGCAACAGCTGTGGGGCTCTTGGCATCCTCAAGGTTTGACTTGGGCTTGACTTGGGCTCCATCAGTGGGAGGGAATCATTCAATGTGGCTTGAAGAAAAAGTTTTCCCACCCCAGCTTTATGCAGAGTGGGCCCTCTCATGTTTCTCCATCTTTGTGGTTATCCTCAGCAAGACAGCTACCCTCCACAGAGAGCAAATCTGGTACAATGTTCTCTTTTTCAGTGTTCATTTTTGCCTGCTCTGGAATATAATCTAAGAGTTTAGGAATTTATATCACCCGGAACAGAATAATGAAGCTATTCTATACTTGAGCAATTTAATGAATGTCTGTCTCTGACTCTAGAGTGTATGTTCTATGATAACGTTGACTTTGATTTGCCCACTGCTCTACACCCAGGGTAAACACCGTGTCTGGCAACTAATAGCATTTAAGAAATACTCCTTGACTGAATGCAGTAAGATGGTTTCTGAGACTTTGGAGTTCCCTCCTTTCCATGACTTAGCAGGTAATGTCATTCCCAGTGATAAAAAGTACATGACTTTTCCCTGGGGCTTCACACCTGCCAAGGAGTTAAAGAAGATAATTACCTCTTTTGCACTTACAAGTCTCTAGCATGCTAAAGCTAAATGCCCTATAGAGGGAAAGGGTGAGGCTTTGACAATGAATTATTTCTAAAGTAGGCATTTATCACCTCTTCTATGAAATAATAAGAACCTGAAAGGAAGGTTTGCTGCAAATAATGGTACATACTATACAGACCTTGACCTTGTTTTGCACATTAGATGCTTTCTGACAAAGTATGGTGTTGTGAATATTTATGCGGCAAATTCCATTTTCTCATTGACTTCCATTATTATCTCAAGAAATGTTTTGCACAGAAAAAAATTGGCCTTACCACAGAAAATCACATTTTAAAGAGCATTCAGCTTTTGCCGGTATATAGCTTAAGTACATTTAATTCTCTCCTGCCAGAGAAATTAATCAAATGGACAATTGATCCGTACAACCTTTGCACATTCATTAAAAGCACACCCGCATTACAGTGCATCCGACTGATTATGCCTGTTTCTTTGGAGTGTCCCACTGCATGGATGGGACTTGAATATATAAGTGGGTACAATGGTTAAGCCATTGTTGCAGGACTTTGACACAATGCTAAGTTGAAGAACTAAATGGAAATGCTTTTTTCAGGCTGAACAAAGCAATTCTAAGTTGTTGCTTCACCTTTGCATGGTCTCTCCCTTTATGACCCTTCCTTCACCTTCACACACAAACGCCCCCTCCAGCCCTGTGCTGTGTTAAGTAATGTTTCAATCAACCACTTACCCATTTTGAGTACCTCCTAATTTCTCAGGAACTACTGCAGGTAGGGGAGGTGTAATTGATGCAAGAGTGTTAAAGGTGATTTGCTGAAAAGGACACAGCTAGCAAATGTCTTACACTTAAAAAAAGTTTTATCTGATATTTTTATTGAAATTTAGTCATCTGTAAACAAAAGAAATAAGTCATCTAGGGATAATCATTGTTAATATGTACTCTGTTTACTTCTACATGTAGATTTTGAAAAATTGAAATTGCAATCACATGCTGTGTTTAAATTATCACAGATTGCTTTTTTATATAACATTATGTTGTGAGCTTATTTTCTAAATATTCTTCTAAAACATTTTAATAGCTGAATTATCTTCTATTTATAAGTATCTCATAATTTATGTAACATATAATGAAATATTTAAGTTATATTTAAACTTTTACTATTAAAGTAAAGCTGTCATGAACACTCTTATATATAATACATTTATTATATTTTTCATGATTTCCCCATGAAAGATTCCAAGAAAGCAGGATAATCAGATGACACATACTTTTAAATTATTCTTGAAAAAAATTATCTCACTCCTGCTAGCAGTTTATGAGTGTTCATCTTACAATATCCTCATCAACATTAAGTATTATTGTTAAAATATTATTAATTCTATGTCAAAATGGTATCTCATTTTAATTTAGATGCCCTTGATTACTCACAGGCCTGAACATTCTTATGTATTTATTGGCTATCGTATTTTCCTCTCATGTGAAAGGAAAATTTGTCACTGTCATTGCCCATTTTAGTACTTTTATACTTAAAAGTCTCTGTCCATTTCAAGATCAGTTTAATATTCACCTTATTTTATGATTGTTTATTTGGTTTTACTTTTTTCTTTAACCTTTTTAAATTCTTTGGTAAACCTTTTCACTGTTGAGTAAAGTGAGTGTTTTTACCAAAAATTTTCAGATATAAGTGATAGAAGTCAAGCTCAAACTAACTTGAACAGAAAGAAGCATTTTAGCTCACATGCCTGGGAAATGAGTCCTGCTTGCTGCCGTGGAATCCACTCCTGGTCTCAACAGGGAAACACCAGGGTTTGAACTC